GTTTTGATGCTCCATAGAGCAGTTTTTGGATAAGTATTTTACAATCATAGTACTTAGAAAGACTTCAGTGTTACATGTTTACTTTTTTCATGTTAAAAAATACTTGATATTTCAGTAAAGTAGTTTTTGTTTGTTTATTTGACATGACTTCTAATAAGGCAGATGTTAATTTCTCCATTCATTTTGAACTTAGTGTTTTTGTTTCAGATGTTTCATGTCAAGCATTAAACAGTTTGGACTGTTTACTTGAGTTTTCCTAATTAAATTTAGTCCTACTAAACACAAATATCGTCTGGCGTTTAGTATTGCAATATATCGTATCGTCTACCCTGTATTATGATACATATTGTATCGCCAGATTCTTGCCAATACACACCCCTACATCTCACCTTGACTTGGTTTCCTATTCAAGCTGGTAGACACAAGCACAGTGTGCTTGACTGCTCAATGCAAAGTCACATTTAAGGCAGACTGCGAACTATCTATTTTGATTTCTTTAATTTTAATTTTAATTTTTCTCTGATTTTAAACAAAAAATATCACTAGTATTCATTTGTGTGGATAAAAGCAGAAAAAATGCTGTCAATACATTGCTGCAACATTTAAATGAGGTTTTAAATGCGTCAGTTTCAAGTATAGTAAGAGTAAAAGATTCAAGCTTTCTGTTAAGGTTTCAGGGCTTTAATTTGAGTCCAGTAAATCTTTATTACTCACCAGCATCGAGTTTCATGAAAACTGTAGGTTTTTCAACTATAAGGTCACAGTAACCATCCTCTATGGGATGAAAATCCAGATTTGTGTATGTCTGCAGCTCAGCATACCTACAAAAACATCAAACAACTATTGTAAATAAAACAGAAAAATTATAAAATTATAAAAATTATATATGTAACTGGAAAGGCAGGACATGATGAAAAAAACATATGAACACACCAATAAAAACAAACACACAAATTAAGACATCAAAACAAATTATTCTTTTAGAAGATTTAGTGATGCAGAATAATCTATATCAGAAAACAAAAACATAATTTTCTGAGCTGTTGTCACAAGTGTTTACTGTTAACTGCAACGACAAAATCATGTTATGCAATAAGCTTAACTCACTTGAAGAAGCTTCACATAACACTTCATGGGCATTTATGAAGATTAATAATCAAGTGAAATGAAAAATTCACTGAGAATTATAACTATAAAACTGTAAATTTCCGCTGATTGGAAACATACATTAACTATCTATTTCTTTCAAGGCTTATGTAACTGTAAATATGTAATGGCAGTTGACACATGTAGTTAGGACTTCTACGGACCTGGAACAATATTTGGTTATTATTTATATAATTATCCTACCAGTGGCGTGATGAGTAAACAAATTAATCATGAAGGGCAAGAAAACCAAAAGGTCAGGTGAGGTCAAAGTTTGTTCTCTGACCAAATTTGTACGCTATTTAAGAGCGTATCCATGCCAACACGGAAAAATAGCACGCGCTGCGAGCCAGCCAGGAGTCAGAGAGGAGAGTGTGGTTGGGTCTTTGGCGAAGGTTGGTAGTTTTGGTCTGAAGTTTGGCAGTCCAAGGGTTCGGTTTTTTCGCATTCCTCGAGAGTATGTAGTCTTGAGGTAGGTCTTGTCCCGCCTAGAGCATCTTGGAAATGGGGTTGAGGCCGTTGTTTGGGCGTTGTTGTTCTTGTCAACTAGTTACTTTGGGGGGGATTTCGTAGTTCGCTGGTTTTGGTATCGTTTTATATGGAGGCGTTGATTGTGGGTTTCTATGGGGTTTGTCTATGGTTTTTTTGCTAGGTTGGTTTTGGGGTTGTGGGTCTAGTGGTGGGGCGCTGCTAGTTGCTCGGCAGGGAGGATGGGGTCAAGGGTGGCTCTGTTTGTTGGTTTCGTTCTCTTGCGTTCGAACTGTGGTCATTCAGGATGGGGTCTAGGGTCGCAGATCCGTGGTATAGTGTTTGAGTGGTGGGGGTGACAATGTGAACGCTTGGGTCTATCTAGGTGGAAGGTGCCTTGTGGAGCGCGGTGTTATTTGTGCTGGACCTGGTGGGGTGGTTAAGTCGGGTTCGAACGCTGGTTCTGGTCAGTAGTTCAGGTTTGGAGGAGTGTGGTCGGGTTCTGCCCCTTACTGCGTGAGTCTGTAATCTGTATTTTCCTATTTACGAATGTTTGACTTTCAGGTTTACTGCTAAGCCGTGTTTTTTTTGTTTTGTTTGTGTGGGAGAAGGGTTTCGTGTGGTCCATGGTTGTATAATGCCTTTGTAGAGTGAGTGAGGGTCGAGGGTTTTCCGTGGATTGTTATGGAGCAGGTATGTGATCTTTAGCCTGACAAGGGTGTAGATATTTGGCGTTGGTGTGATGTCTGATGCGGGTTCGGGTGGCGTTGAAGTTTGTAGATGTCTAGTGTGTTGGCTGTTCCCTGAGAGTTCGCGCGCGTGCGTACTCCCTTGAGGTGTGATCGAGGTGGGCGTAGTTGAAGCAGCTGGGCCCGAAGAGCCTGCGATCCCTGAAGAGGAGGTGAGTCAACTGCTTAACGGCATAGACTTGACCCCCCAGCAGAAGGTCGAGCTCCAGACCCTGCTGCAGAGGTGGCGAAAGGTGTTTGCTGTGAACGAGGAGGATTACGGAAGAACTGATTTGGTCCAACACCAGATCCACACAGGTGATACACCACCCATTAAACAAAAATATCGTCCTTTACCACCACTGATGTACAAAGAGATTAAGATACTTCTAGCAGATATGCTGAAAAAAGGTGTCATTCGGGAGAGTAGCAGTCCCTGGGCAGCCCCCATTGTGTTGGTGAGGAAAAAGGATGGCAGTTGGCGATTTTGTGTAGACTACAGATTTTTGGCTGTTGTGTTGAGGGTGTTCTGGTGTTTTGTTTGTGAATATAGGTATTGTGGTAGGTTGGCTGGCTTTGTCTATTTTTTTTGTGTTGTATCTTACTATGAATTAAATTCATTCGTCGAACTGTCATAATAGGGAGTTGCGTTCGCGTTTTGGTTTGTTGTGGTTTGTTTTTCCGTCTCCCGTTCCTTGTTGATGTTGGCTTGTAAGTAAGACTTTGGGTTATATGCGATGTTTCTGTGATCTAGTAGAGCTGAGTGGTTTTCCACATCTTGTTATCTTTGTGGGGCGTTTTGTATTGTGGGTTGTGTGTGCGCATGAGAGGGATCTGTGTCGAATGGAGGGAAATGATTTGCCTTAAGGATCGGGTGTGATGTATAGAGGAGCTATTTGGGCAATTGGTACCTGTTTTACTCTCTGTCTTTGGGTTTTGTATCTGTTGAAGTTTTGATTGCGTTCGGGAGGTGCGCTTTTGGGACGGCTCTGGTAGATTTGTTGTGTGTCGCCCTCTGGGACTACCTTTGTGCGTAGGGGGGTGAGACTGGGCGCTGAGTGCATGTCGGTGTTTATAGTAGTCACCGTTTCTGAAATCGGTTTGGGTATGATGCGGTATTGGATAGTATATTATCGTAGTCTTGTCGACTGTTTTTTTTTGTTTGTTGGCGTTGGAGCTTGTTCACTATCTGTTGGAGTGCGGTTATCTAGTGCATTGTGTTTGGAGAAGGGTGGCGTTGGTGCTAGTAAGGCTTGTGCAACATCGGGAGGTTGTGGTGTTCTGTAAGTGCTGAGGCTTTTGGGAGGCGAGTATGTGAGTGTGTTGGTTCCGGAGGGGCTTGTTGGTATGTGCGTGTGTGTTTGTGGTGGGGGGTGTGGGGATTCGGTTGGTTTCACCTTGGTCTGAGGTGAGTTCTCTGGGTGTTTTGCAATTTTTGGTCGATCTTTCTAAAGGCAATGTGGGGGGTTAAGGTGTTGGTGTTTGTTTTGGGACTAGAGTTACTCTCTTGGTTTGAGGTAATATATGCCCGAAGGGGCTGTTCTTCGGGTGCAACGTGGTGCCGTTGTTTTCTCCTGGCTACCTGGCGTTTTGAGCCTTCATTGTGGTTTGGGTGTGTGTGTTTTTGTTTGTTTGAGTGGGGGTTTTCTGTGTTTGTTCTATGTTCAGAGTCCTTCCTTGGCTGTGTTGCAGGTTATTTACTTAATGTATGGTTGTCGGAGGTTGTGTGCCCTAGGTTTGCTAGGTTTGTGGTGGTTTTTTCGATTGGGTTGACTCGTTTTAAATGCTCTGCTCGTGGATATTATTCTGGTCCTTCTAGCAAGGTCGCAAGCATATGTGGGGCAGTTTGTGTTGTGTGCGGATTGTTTTGGGGTGTGGCTTGCTTGAATGGAGGAAGCCCGGTTGACATGTTTGTCGTTGAAGTGTGCTCTGAGCCGAGCCCTGCCCTGATTTCTGGCTTATGCACATTTGGTTCCGTGGAGTCCCTTTGCACTGTTTAATTTATGGAGGGTGGGGCCAGCAATGTTGTCAATTGTGGCCTGTTGTTGGAGGGCTGTGTTGATGCTTTCGCCGGTGCAAGAATGAGCTAGCAAGGTGTTTTGAACGGTGGTTGAAATGCTGGCCAGGTTATTTGCCTGGGTTATATGCTGGAGTGGTTGGGTTGTAGGTCTCTGGGTAACAAGCTGCGCTAGGCCGTTTGGACTTGGATCTTAATGACAAAAACGGATAGGTTGCGCTGGGTTTGTCGGAAGACTGGGGAGAATTCGTTATTAGGCATCTTAAAAAGATGGGCCAGTTGGGATTGACTGAGAAGTTTCAAGGATTAAGCTTGACGAGGGTCCGCAGGTGAGAGTGTTGTTGTTTAGGTATTATGAGGCCGAGCGAGGACAAGTGCCTGCGTGGGCCGCACGGTACAGGAGATGCGGACTGGGACTGGTGGGTGGTCATACTAGAGCTAATCGCTTGTGGGTGGTTCACATGGGTGGCATCGGGCTTGGTCTGACTTCGGATGTTGGTTTTGTGTTTTTATTGTTGTTTTGGTAAAGGGGTGGGTGGTTGTGTTGTTTTGGGGGGTATTGAGCGGTGGGGTGTGTTTGGCTCTGTTGGTGTGGGGATATTTTGTGTGTTGCTGTTTGTTGTGTTGTTACTGGTTGGTTTGGTTGTCGGTTTGGTAGAATGCCGAGAGAAGTTGACGTGGGGATGTTTTTGGGTTTTTATTGTCTGTTTTTTTTGGGGTTTTCTGGTTGTCTTGTGTGGTTTGGTTGGTTTTGTGTATTCTGTGCGTTTTTTTTTGTTTGTCTGGTTTGGTTTTTTTTTATGGTTTTTGTGGTTTTGTGTGGGGTTGGTTTTTGGGGTTGAGTGGTTGTTTTGTGTTGTTCCTTGGGGGTTTGCTGTGTGTGTGTTGTTGGGTTTTGTGGTGTTGTGGTGTTGTGATGCGAGGATCTTTGGGTTGTGGCTGTTCTGTTAGGCTGTTGTATTTTTTTTTTTGTGGGGTTTGTTGGTTTTGGTTGTTTGTTGGTTTAGTGGGTTTTGGGTTTTGTGTGTGTTTGGTTGGTTTTTGGTTTGGGTTTTGTGTTGTTGGTGGTTGTGTGGCGGTTAGTTTGTTGGGGGTTTGTTGTGGGGTTTTGTTGGTGTGCGATGGCTTTATTCATAATAGCATTGCTCGGTGGGGGGTGGTGTCTGTTCTGTTTTTTTGTATGTGTTGCGTGTGGGTGGTTGGTTGGTGTGTTGGGTGTGGTTGTTTTGTTGGTGTGATATGTTTGGGTGTGTGATTTTTTGTGGGGTGTTTTGTGGCTTTTTTGTGTTTTGGGTTTTGTGTCTTTTTTGTTTTTTGGGGGGTGTTGTTGTTGTTTTGTTTTTTTTTTCTTATTGGTTTTGTTTTTGCGTGTTTGTCGGTGGGTGTGTTTGTTGTTTTTTGTGTTTGTTTTTTTAGTTTTTTTAGGGTGTGTTTCTTTTGTCTTTAGTTTTGTTTGTTGGTG